ACGGTCGATGCCTGGCGGCTGGAGCCACTGGACTAAGTCGTGATGTTGGTTGGATGGTGTGGGGGGTGCCGCCTTGGATGGTGTGGTGGGTTGCGGGCGTGGTGAAGGCATGTGGTGCGGGACGGGCCCGGTCGATGTGGTGGTCGCCTCCGGGAATCGGGCCTGTCTGGGAGTGTCGCGAGCCGTGGGTGTCGCGAAGTTGACGGTCCGCGGTGGTGTCATAGCTCGGGAGTATCCCGGTTGTGTGGAGCGGCCTCGCTGCTGTCGGGGGGTGTTGTTCCGTTGGCGAGACGGGTTCAATGTGCTTGGCGGGCCACGTGGTACCGCGTATGGCATCTGGTAGGTGCACGGATCGGGGTACCGAACGTTCATGTGGTGAATGGGCGTGTTCCACTCGCCGTGAAGGTGGTCGCGGAGGATTTCAAAGGCCTCCCGCCTGGACACGAAGCGCCATTCACGGTGGGCTGTGTCATAGTGGATGCCCACGCCGGTGTTGGGTCTGGCATGGTGCACGAAGCGCAGCCAGGCAAGAAGGTCACCATGCAGGACTGAGTCGCTGTGAACATGGCGGCATTCGGCACCACTGTCGCAAAAGCCTTCTGGATGCCGGGCCTGTTGTCGAAGATGTCGGTAACAGATGTTGTCTCGCGGCATCCAACGCGCATCAACGAACTCCGGATGCAAAAAGGCGCACTGGTGGGCAGAGGCAGGTGCACGTCCCCTGCAGCCGGAATGGTTGATGAACTGGTTGCAGACCTGATTGCCCTGCAAGATGTTGCCCGGACCGACCGCCTCGGGCAGGATCGAAAGATGGTCTTGAAGGGCCCGGTACAGTCGTTCATAATCCGGGTCGAGCTCGGTCATTTCCATGAGCTGGTACTCCTCCACGATGGATGCGAAATTCGCTGGAGCAGTCATGGCGGTCGAGCAGGCAGGGCAGGTAGGTCGGAAAGAAAAGAAAAATTTGGCTTGAGCCAAAATGGCGAACGGAGCATGAATCAAGCAGTGTCATCCTGCAGGCACTCAAGGTTCGAATCTGAGTGTGATTCAAATGCCTTCCGCTATCGGTTGTTACTTTTAACACAAGTGTTAACCGCCACAAATGAAAAAGGTCAAAAGGTCGGGATTGAATAACTAGGTCCTAGTTCAGTGGTGTTCAAAAAGGGAAGACCTGAGTTCTTTTTCCCTTTTGCGTTGCTTCCAAACATAAACCGGGAACAACAAGTCTATCTACTTGGATGTTCGGCTATCAAGTTGTTGGCAAACTAGAGGTTATACTCCACTTGCAGGTGTTGTCGCGGAGCTAACCCTGTTAGAGGCTTCGAGCCCAGGTGGCTAAGCGCCTAAGTTGGCTGAACATCCAAGTTCCCTCCGTGCTACTCGAGGTGTTGAGGTAGCGGGTAGGGTCAATCAGAGCGCCGGGCCTCGAGGGGTCGTTTCTCCCCACAAACCTGAGGCCTCTTCCCTTCGAGATCCGCGGTCTTTTGGGTTGGGGCCCCTGAATTTTGAAAAGTGCCCCGAGTGAACATCCCAATCCCAACTAAACTAGGCTCTAAAATGGCTGGTGCACCCACCCCAAATTGGTTGGTTTTGAGCCTCAGCCAAGTGACACCCCAAGAGGCGCAAGGTAACACATGCCCGCGACTCATTCACTTCCGGCCAGATTCCCATGCAAAAGTTGCACCTTTCCGTGTTCTAGTGGTTCTGACTTGTTTACCACATGAGTCCACAATCCGGATTGATTCCGGCAGGAAAGGACAAACATCACCCTTTACCCGTGAAGAGCTCGAAAGGCGGAGCCGTGGGGACCCAGGTGGCATTTCTCGTGAGTTTGCCCCAAGGACAATTAATGAGTGACTTGAGGCAACCCAGTTGTCTCCGTGGATTTTGGCTTTGGGCATCCTTTAAATTAGAAAAGGAGGGTATGGGTGTGTCGTTTTTTAGGGCCCCCCCCCAATAATGGTGGTTTCCAATTAAAGCCAATTGGGGGTACCCCACCCCAAACAAAAAGACCAACACCATATGGCTGCAATCTTACCCGGCGTTCCCCGGCGTTGGCCTCGAGGACCAAAATGCTTGCTAGTGCGAGTCCGGCAGGGAATGTGAAGTGGAACGACCCCGAAATAAAAACCATCCCCTGGTGGTTTCCTTTAAGACAATTCCTGGGTTCATTTCCACATTCCCTACTTAGCACCGCTGGTGGTTTCCTTTAAGGGGACCCCAAACCGTTCATGTCCACATTCCCTATCGCACCAGCAAGAAGATGCCCATGACTACTTTGGGCTTCGTATCGCGGGAACCAAACACCTAAACCCAACCATTGTCAATGGCCATTTTTTGTCCATGGCCATACGGTGGATGAAGGCTCACAGGGGCATTCCAGTATTCCAGTGTTTGTTATACGCCTACTTGAGCGCAGTTGCAGTTGTTTCGGTGTTGCCAGTGGCTCAAGTCCGGCTACGATCTCAGGATCGCACGCCCACTCAAAGAATTTTCCGGAGCCATGAGGCGACCCGGGCCGTGGCGCTGGCATCCTCCCCCTTTTCCTCGGATCTTCCGCCTCCTTGGCCCTGGGCCAAGCCATCTCGATGATCCGAAGGTGGGACCTGCGCTGCGATCGTCGATCGGTGTGCCGTCTTTGGGGGGTCGGGCTTGGCTTCTGGGCGTGGACTGTGAATTGTTGGTTTCTGGGGTTTCTAGAGTTTCCAGGGCTTCTGGGGTTTAGGGGGGGAAGGGGGGGGGGGCACTCCATGTGTTGCTCCTGCGTTCCAGGCTCGGCGCCTCCGCTTGGGGTTCGGAAAGCCAAGAGGAAACAAGGCTCGCGGCCTATGTCACCGCTGGGGGGTTTGGAGTACACGAGTACACGCGCAGCGCACGCAGACAGGCAGGCAGCAAAAAAAAGACACAGACAAACAAACAAAGAAACATAGAAACAAACCACACCAGCATATGGTCAAAGAAACAACATATCCAGAACACAACCGAACAACAAACCGAACCCAACCCGAACCTACCTAGATACCTATACCTACCTACTTGTCTACCTACCTACCTGTCTTCCTGCCTGCCTGCCTGTCACAACCCAGTGTGCCTGGAGGGGGGAGGGCTCCTGCAAACAGGTCTACCTTCCTTTCTGGTTGCAAACTATTGATAACGGTTCCCTGGCATTCAAACCACCAAACAATCGGGGGTTCACAAACTAGGTTTTTCAGTAGAGGCTAGAATAAGGGTACCATTTTTTCGGTAATCTATTTTAGTAGGGGAACCCTCCCCCAAAAAAGAAACGGTAAAAAGGCACTCCGGGGGACCTAGCAAAACATGATATTGTTGATCTGAGGATGGTCATCTACATTGGGTCAACCATGTTGGGAGCTTAACCCTCGAACTTCTTTTCAACCTTTGAAAGAATTCGCAGCGCTTTCTCGGGACCTTCACCACTGACGTCAACCCGACCCGAAACAGTGAGTTGATCCGCCGGAAGCGATCGCCTCTTCCGATTGGCGCGGGTGAAGGCAATCTGGCGGGCACAAGATTGAAGAATTCTTGGTTTGAAGATCTTCTTGGGGGAAGGGGGCTGGGTCCAATCAAATTGCCCGGTTCAAGAACTGATTTTCTTGGAGGGGAAAAGGGGCTGGGTCCAATAACATGTCCCGTTCATATACTGATTTGTTTGCCATGGCTCTGAGGAGAGCCATTGCAACAATTTAGTGCCTCTTACTGGCCTTATGTTGTTTTCCGCGGCCAATTTGTTGAATCAAGTCGGCCGAAACCGCTCATGGCGCCTAGCTCCAAATCACTATTGGACTATTTTAAAACATGGAAGTCAGCATGGGGTTCTGCCCACAGCCTGTTTTTGTTTCTTTTGGCTTTTGGAGGTTTGTGTCCCGGAAAGTCCCAAACCTCCATCTTTTTCCTATAGCAAAGGCCTATGTTGAGCCAAATTGTGTTCACCAGAAATCAGTCAGGCCCAGATTTCGGGGGTTCCCCCAAACAGAGGTGTAAACAACCGGCCCCTTTATTTTACTGTCAAAGTCACCCCCCTAAGTGGTAGGTTAAAGGGCAACACCCCACCACGTTGGCTCCTCACCATCGGCGAAGTCCTCAGGGTGCTTTTCCAGTACCCTGTCCTTTTCGACATAGGTGCAGTAGTCATTTCGATCGAAGTCCGCCACGTGGCTCTTCTCTGCCTCGCTCTCGATGACCTACAACCATTCAGCCCATTTGCGTCGATCCTGGTTCTCCGCCGCTCGGTCGGCCGCATGTGCCAGGCTGATAGAATTGATGTTCATCGCGGGCAGCGTGGACGCATAGATCATGTCAATACACCACAAGAAGTCCCTTGCTTCCTAGTTTCTGACTTTGATAACCCCTAGAAACAGTCAAAATGATGACCCCAGAACAATAGCTGTTTCAACAAGTTTCAGGGGGGTGGGCAGGTGCGAATCCAACCAGCAACCGTACACAAACTTGCTGATTAAACCGTCTAGCCAAGCCCGAAAAAACACAAGTTTGTGAAGCAACCCTTGAACAAAAACCGACCCGGGCCCGTTCAACCCTGCAGTGCAATTACTTCCACACGTACCGCCGTTTACCGAAGTGGTTTACCATTCTCAAAGTCACCCCATAAGTGGTATGTTTTAAGGGGTACCACCTCCAAAAACATGACCCCAGAACAATAGCTGTTTCAACCAGTTTCAAGGGGATGGCCCAAGCTGGCGTGCCACAACAAAACGCCGGAAAGCCTCAAATACCATGGGAAGCTGCCAAAAAGAAACGCCTCACCACGGCTGTGGGCACTCAGCGTCCCTTTGCTTTCGCGAGCAACTGCCCAACCTAGAACAGGGATCCTTACATTATAATTTTGGTGTTGAACAGCCACATGTTTTTGACATGGTTTTGCAAGATGTATTTCTTTTAAGGAGCCCTGTAGAAGCAGAACCTCAGCTTTGGAGCACTCAGCTGCCCAGCTGAGGTCAACTTCTTTCGTGCAGGTCGTCCCGTCACTCGCTGGAGCTCTCAGAGCTCATCTCCGCCGTCTTCCGGCGAGTACTCGGGCGCTCAGCCCAGCGCACCAGGCGCTGCACCGAGGGGAAACGCACCTGACGCGGCTTGACCCCAAGCCTTGACCCAGGAAAAGCGGGGCTCTCACAAATACAGATGTTCTGAATCTGCGTTTCATGGAAATATTATAACCCTCTCTTGTTCTCAGAACATCTCTTTTCTTTTCTGAACTTGTTTCATGGTCTACCCTTCGAAATAGACTAGTCTTGCAGAAGACTGCCCCAACCGTTTGTGACGTGTTCAAACCACTAGGAAAAACCGGTGGTACGGGAACGATCACCCCAGTAACCCTGACTTTGTCCTGCTGATGTTGCGTGGCCGTGTCCAGAGAAAGCCGAGAGGAAACAAACATGTGCCTTTTTTGGGTTCAAGTTGGTGCCCTGTTTGTATGGTAACAGATGAAATAAACGGGAAACAAGCATAATTTAGGTCCACCTGTGACAAATACCCATTAGGCCTTTGGCCTGAGTGTTCCTCTCCAGGCTTATTTGCCCCGAACTCTTTGGGGTGTCCTTGGGTGGGACATAGCCAAAAATGCCACATACATAATCTATCTAAGTATATATATACATATATGTATTGTATAGATCTATACTTACACATATATCCGAAGGAGGCTCATGGGCCTTACTGGTCCTGAATGCTTCCTTCATAGTCACTAGTCGCTTTCCTTGGATGGTCTGGGATCTAGCTAAATCTTTAGTAACCCTGCTTACAATCCACAGAATCGGGACTTAGCATAAGTGTGGCTGACCAGACAATTCCCCCCCACCTCCTCAACCAGCCTTTGCTTTTGCCAGGGGCCCAAGAAGTTGGATCGGAGTGGGCTACTATGGAACTGAATGACCTCATGAGATTGGGAGAATCGTCGTCCCATCGTTTTCGACTCTGGACGTTTGGGCAAGAAAGAGTTTCAAGCCTTGAAGGGTCGAAAAATGTTCGCTTTTGGAGAACCAAGGGGTTCTCCATAGGGGTCATCCGGCATGTGGAATGAGTCTAAGTGTTGCAGGAACAGGAATTCCTTCAAAGCTGCATCTACAACCCGCCTGCTTTAGGAAATCCTCTGAACCAGCGCGTTTTTTTGTATTGCTCTTGATGTAGGCGTGTCTTTTGTACCCATGCTTGCATACTTTCAAACGGAAAATCAAGACAACACATGACGCGCGAGCCAAATTTTGGGGGCAAAAAAGCGGACTCCCCAAACAAAAAGACAAACGAGATCGAACGCACGGGCCGTGTATCCTTTCCGTGGCCAAAGAAGAAAAAAAACCGTCTCGGCAGCCGCTCTTTTCAGGGCTCCATGACATTGCAAGGTCCAACCCTCCTCTCTAGGTCGTTTTTTTGTACACATGGCTGTGGCTCAAGAAGCCGGAATTCCAAAAAGGCTTGCCCTGGCAAGTGGAAACGTGGGTGCCAACACCTGCGTAAGTGGCCCCTCCTCTTTAATTTTGAGCCACCCCCACATCCCGGCGAAGCGAACAGCTCGGGTCCTCAGACTGGCCAAAAGAAGTCCGAACTGCTTTGCCACCCAACCGGCGTTCCCCAGAAAGAGAGAAACCCACCAGGGAGGGTTTAAAAAATAATAATCGGAAGGCTCAGGATACTCTCCGGGGGCCCGGCATAGAGGCAGGTGAGGGCGATGGCCAGTGCGGCCATAAGCCTAACGAGTTGCGGATCGCTACGGCGGTTTTAGCCCGAAAATAATTGACGTCGGCTTTGGGGGAAAGGAGTTGACCCGGGGAGAGCCTCCCTTCTTCTTCTTTTTGGCCATGTTGGTTCACCCCTTCTTTTTTTCCCCACTTACTATTGGTGTCTCCCGGAAAGTCTCCCTGTTCAATTACGGGGTGGGGATCATGGCACGAGTCGAATGTAAACTCAGTTCAGTGGCCCAATTTGGGAATGATGAATAGTGGAGAGGCCGCCAAACAGAAAGAGAAAACGAGTGCCACGGATCAATTCCTTGACCAAGCCTCGAGCAGCCACAAAAAAATATGGTCCCAGCGAGGAAGTGGCAGTGCTTCGAGGCCCAAGCTGACATCTCATACGGGATACCAAGGGGTTAGACACCTCAGGGCGATTGTGGTTTCGCTACTCAATTACGGCAAGGAAAGGATACCACCTTTGAAAAGAAGCATAGCAATCTGCCTGTGTGTGCGTGTGTGTATGTGACATGTTGTGTTGTGCTCCTCTTCTGGCTGCTTTGTTTGGGTTCCACGGTTGTCATCTTTCTTCTTGGGTGTGCATGGCTTCGACAAGGCACACTGTCTTCTTTTATGTGGCCGGTTCTAAGATCCCCTGCCAAAAGTCGACTTTTTCGCGGGTTAAACCCTAAAGACCTAAGGAACCAGCTAGCAGCCACCAAGTTATGTGGCCTTTCATGGGTTGTGTCTTCTGTAATACTTGATCTGCACAACCAAGAAAGTCCACAAACTGGGAAACGGAATCGGACCTACATCGTGGGCTCGCCAGAATGGTTCTTCAGTTTCAATTGGGCTTCCCCCCCAAAACGGGTACCACCAGTTTCATGTCGGCTTCTCCTTTAACAACCCTCCCAAAACGGGTACCAACTCCAAAAGAGGACACCCCAAGGGACTGTCTGACCTGTGCTCTTCAACCGAGGCGCCCCAAACCTACAAAGGCCCAGCTGCGCCACCTGAACGCCGAGGCGTCGAGTAGCCACGAATCCGAGAATCCGAGCACTTGCCTTCAAAAAGACCTCTGGTTGCAAAGGGGCACTTTCGTTCCGCACGGGGCACTTCAAGTTCTGAAAGGTGTCCAAAAACTCAAGGAAATCGACTTTCCGAGATATTTGTTGTTGTTGGGGGCCAGTGAAAACAATCAATCACAGGTGCCTCAAGGTCATTCCAGGCACCAAAGCCAAGTTTTACAGCCCCGGGTGCCTTGGTTCGGCTTCGACTCTTGAGACCACCTTGAGGCTGTCTTCTTTGTGGTTCAGGAAAAATGCAAAAAACAACCTCCCCCCCTTCACCTTTTCAAGGAAGTCCAAGGAGGGTAAAGGAGCCTTCTTGGAAGGGGGTTCCAAGCTGGGTTCTGAGAACCATTCTGGAGGGTAATTAAGGGGGCCCTGAAATATCATGTTGCTGGTCAAAAAGGAAAACGATGGCACATGAATTCGAAAAATACAACAGCTGGATAATTCCGTGCTTAGTGGGTCCCAAACCCAAACAAAAAAACAAAAGACGTAGAAATGAAGGCACGCCCAAAAGGCAAGACATTTAGTCAGCGTGTGAAAGGCACAATGAAGGCAAGCTAAGTTTGGCAATGTTTCAAGATCAACCTCTCAACAGCATGGAAACCAATCGCGGGAAACGGTGAGCTCAGCCTGTCAATGTTGTGAGCATTTATCTTGCAAGTTGAGTTGGCCAAACGAAAGGGACAACCAAAGGTACGCGGCTATGTCTTTCTCAGTTGTTCAGTGACCCTGGAAACAAAGGGAACCTGTTTTTGGGAAGACCATTTAGTGGGGCAGCCACCAAAAAAAAGGGAAAAAGGGGGCCACTGAACAACTGCGAGGCTGCTCTTTTTGGGTGTTGGAGCCCTTCGCCATTGAAAGCGAAGCCAAAGGGACACCACTTCTTTTTGGGGGGTCCCATCGGAGAAAAAACAAAAATAAACAGTGCAACACACGGTTTTCCGGGTAGCCAAGGAATCCAAAAAGGCTCGCGAAGCGAACTGAAAACAAAAAACAGGAACCATTGTTGGGGCTACCGAACAGGGGAAAAGTGGTGACAGCAAGACCCAAGCCGTTTCATATCATGAGCAAAAGAGCTTTGGGTCCTAAAGGCAAGTGGAGTCAGTTCCTGAGTCGGCAACAAAAGTGTCTGAACTTCTTGTCCACTAAAATGGTCCAAACCCAAAAGTAACTCAAGCCCATAAACTCCGCAAGAAGAATTGGTGCCACTGAAAAAGATGTGGACCTCCACTGTTTTCAGTCTCCGTCCAAGTGGTGGTGTGGATTAATTGAAGGTTAGGAGTGGCTTCTGGTTTCCCTCTTTGGGTATCATTTTTAACTAAGGGACCCTGTGGTGGACATTTAGTTGGGGATTTATGTCCAACCACTTTTGAGGTGGTTCCATATTAAAATTGTGTGGCCATTTACCCAGAACCAGAGGTCCAAACCGAATCCAAACCAATCACAAACTCCAGGTCTACGTCATTCTGGTCGGTCCAAAAAAACTTGTTGGTCTTTGCAACCCTTGGTATGGTAGCAAAAAGCAAAAAGCTTGTTTTTCTGCCCCCACTAAACAATTTACAGAACCAAACAAGCCAAGAAACGCAAACACTTGCCAACAGCAGCAGGGTTCTGGGATCACTCGAGGTTTATCCCCACTTCTATGATAGTACTCCCCCTGAAAATAGGGGGTTAGTCTTTGGGAAGAAGCAGGCAGGGAACGATCATTGGAAAAACACCAACTGGTGGTTTAGTTTTTTTTTTTTTTTTCCGGGAACCCCCAAACCGGTTCATTCCACGTCTCATTCTGCTGATTCCCTATCGCCCCAGAGGTCCTCACTTGGCTCCAGAGCTGAGGTTTCTTGCCGCGCCCAAGCCAAGCCACGTGAACTCCTTGGGCGTGGGCAGCGCGCAGGTCTCCGCGCGGAAGTCCCCGGTGGCGATCTTGCAGCCCAAGCTCTCGCAGGAGAGCCTCGGATCGGATCGAGTCTCGGATCGATGGGACGAAAACAGGCCGGATCGAGTCTCTCTCTCGAGCCGAGAGAGGCTTTGAATCCGTCGCTCGGGCAAAAACATGTCCATGGGTTTCCCCGTTTCTATGGCAAGTGTGCGATCCTCTGCTTTTAGAGAGACCCAGCGGTGCATCCAATTTGGCCGAGAGCTGATTTTTGAGTGGCTCCCCCTGGTTGGACCTCAAGGTCAAAGATGCATCACTGTTCCCAGCCTATGCAAGGCCAGCAACATTGCAAGACAAACCAGGCAGAGCTTAGCGTCCCCTGATTTCCTGTCAAAGCCCTGAATGCCAGATCTCCGTTGCAGGGTTGGCTTCTAGCCCCTTTTGCACTGAAGGGAAACGGTGCTTTCAAGGAAGCCTATACCCAAAGTCAACCTCTGCATTGCTGCACCGCTAACGTAGCAACCATCTTTTATGTGGGCCTTGAGGTTACCCATTTCCTTGTGATGTTGGAACACCACACAAAACACCGCCATTTCGGGGGTCCCTTCAACAAAAAGACCCCCCCCCCCCATTTTCCGTGGCATGTCAAAGCTAGCACCCCGAACATCGGCGTCACAAAATCGTGGCCGTGAACCTCTGGGCCCCTTTTGGCTTGATGGATGCATTTTGAGAAACCAAGAAAACCGTCGCCACAGGCGTCCCCTACAATTGGGTGCTTCTTAGGAGGGAGCTCTCATTTTCTGACCGGCGTGTTTACCCTCTAAAAGCAGCAAGAACAGAAAACACCACCCCGCCTACAGGGAACTCAGTTCAACTTGGCCAGGTGCCGCCTTCCTTTTTTTCAACAGGCCCATGTAAAAAGACCCCCTTATGCAGAAACACACACCCTCTGTCAATCACAGCCATGGCGCAGCAGTCCGAAGAACTCCTGGGAAAAAGTTAAGCCGCGTCCCGTTTCTTGGAGGATGTCTACAAGGGACAGTCGGAGGAAAAGACCGTTGGACCTTGTCACGGCTGGGCGGTTTGTCTCGGGAAACTTTGCATCAGGACATTGCGTCGGGAACTCTTTCCAGATGGATGTCAGAAACCATTCTGCATTTGAGTCATAATCAAACCTGGTATTGAATTGGTCGACCCAAACCAATGTAAAGAATTGAAAAGGCGGCCGCACCTAATTCTGGTTGGGACTGTCCCTTGCTAACCTTCATCAATCCGGGTTCTGATTGTGGCTCGATTGAAACTCCGAAACCTGACCCAGGCAACTCTTAATTGCCACCGTAGGTACGCAAAGGACTTTGCCTCCAGGTTTGGGTGACCTATAGTGACCCACAGTGGCTGAAAGCAGTCGGCGCTTTTCTTCCCTGAAACCCATCAACATGGGCAGAACCTTGCATCTCAGAGAACGGTCTGCAGTGAGCTTGGCTTAACCAGCCGTTTTGAGTAATCGATTCATAGAGTGGAGTTTCCCTTTTAGTCGTGGTTTGTTCGGGAAACACCCCCTATAAATAGGATAGGTCTAATCCAGGGTCAACACTCTGGGCGGGCTCGATTGAAACCTCAAATAAGTAAAGCTCGGGAGGCCATACATGGGCGCCCCCAGGCCCCATGTGGCCTAAAAACCACGACACTCCGCAGGTGATGTCATCCACCCAGAGCAAAACACCCACTGTATAGGTTCCTTCCCGAAACCCCGTGCGGGCAGGAAGAAAACAGACCCCCTAAGCTTTCATCAAACCTTGGATCTAAATGAGTTGTAACACAGGGGTACATGATCGCTCTTTGGTGAAAAGCTGGAACCTGCTTTATAGAACCCGTTTGGGGTCCCCTTCTAGGTCCTCCAGTAGAGAGGTTAGAATAAGTTGGTACCAACTTTTCTTTCTGCAGTCTAGTTTAGTGGGTTTGAACCCTCCCAACAAAAAAAGAAACCGTACAAGTTGGCACCAATTGCTGGGGGACCTAGCCGCAGACTTCACCACTTCTGTCCTGCACCCCGAAGTTCAGGGCATCCCGCAAAGTGAAATAGAAGACGTGGTCCGGGCCCCTCACGCCGCCGGGCAACGTCAAGTCCTCGGTGTTGACTGGTGACCACCCCGTGGTTTCTCTTTTAACCGGCACGATGATATCTCAGGAGAAACGTTGGGCCCCCCCCCCCCAACGTGTGTTGCTAGAAAGCTTAGTGTAAGTTGCATAGCAACTTGGGGAAGATGCACTAGAACTTCGTGTAACCTCTAGAGAACTTATAAAGAATTATGACAAGTCCTCGTAACTCCTAGCATAAGTTACTTAGATGTACTTAGGTGAACTTAGGGCAGGACAAGGGTGGGTTAGGGGGGTGACGGCAACCCTCGGGGGCTGTGGGTAAAGTAAGCACAGGGAATCTGAGAGTCGGAGCCTTTGGCAACGTTAAATCAAGTGCTGGGAAATCTGAGTCAGGCTTGGCCATGCTACATTCAGAATTGCCAATACTAAAGTAAGTACTTTGGAAATCTGGGAATCAGCCTCGGCAATACTAGAGCAGAATTGGCAATCCTGAAGTAAGTACTGGCAAGTCCAAGCCCCGCCCAGACCCCCAAGATTCTCCCTAAAGAGGGTGCCCAGTGTGGGGGGGGGGGGGGGGTTCCCACTAAAAAGGGTCCAACATCATGTGTGACGGTATGCCGTTTTTGATGGTCATAAAGAGAAACCGACAGGGAACCAAGCATTGCGCGGGCGCCCCTCAAGGAAGACACACCCAGCTGCTGATTGACAAGATAGGCGAAGCGAATGGGCCATCAAGCCTGGGAACTATGGGGCCTTAGTTCCACCAAGCACATGTTGAAGGGGTCCCCCATTCACAGCCTTGGGGGAGGCAGGTTTTACGCGGACAAAGAAAACCTTCCGGAAAGCTGCTTTCAAGCAGTCTACCAAGGGTACAGCGTGTGAACGCGAACGCAATAAGTTTGAGCAGCTTGTTCTCTTGGTCCTTCAGCAAATGGCCCCCACTCGGGGAATATGGAATGGGGAAGCGACCGTTCTGAAATGCGCAAGGCAAATCGCAGCCCCAAAATATCCAGCCCTCAAAACACTCCTGACCACAGACACACCGAAACAGGCACTAGAACCCCCCCCCCTCGTGGACATTCAGATTTACGTGCAATTCAGCTGCAAGGGCTGAAGAAGCAGGGGTCCCTATGTCCCATTTCCTCATCACCTTTCCAAAAGGGTCTCCATTTGCAATGGCGCAAGCTGATTGCCCAAACAGAAAGGGGATATCACCCATCCCTCCACCTCCCCATCGGCAAGACGCCCATTTTAGGAAGCCACTGTAGAACCTCAGGCTGAGGGGGATCCGATCCGGCCTCCTGCAAAAAAAGTTCGGGTGTCTGACGCTCAAAAGGGAATCTCAAACAAATGAGTTCAGCCTGGCAGTAAACAGTGGGCAACTGAAAAAAAGAATTGCTGCTCAAGAAAGATTTGCAAGAAATATACCAAACCACCCGCCATCCAAGCCTGCGGAAGGTCTGTGTAAGCACATATGGTCTCCCAACGGCTGCTCCTCTGCCGTGCTTTTTGGGATGGCTCTACACTTCCGAAGTGGATGGGCCAAAGGCCAAAGGCCAATCAAAGTCCAGCAACTCTCGGTTGCCAACTCTGCTCCCCTGCTAAAAGTGAATAACTTTTAGTGGCTTAGTGGAAAGCCCGTTAGTTGGCAAAAAGTTGTTAAAGTCCTAACAGCCAAGCAAAATGCACCGACCAGAATGATCTTCCCCAAAAAGCGACTCAAGTCCAGACTTCGACATTCACAGGGGTCACCGGACTTCGCCAGCAAAAGTTGCCATTGACGGGTGGTTTCCCTTGACTAGGTCCTCCAGATTTGAGAGGATAGAATAAGGGCACCCACTTTTTTCAGGACGTCTAGTTTAGTAGGGGAACCCTCCCAACCAAAAAAGGGGGTCAAAACAGGCACCTAGCTGGGGGACCTACCAAAAAGTGACTAAAGTCCAGCAACTCAGGAAGTGAGACGACACAGCCTGGACCCTCAAAGTACCCATAAAAGAATGGAATCCACCAACCATGATGTTGGGTTGCAATCACCCACTTTTGAGTTGGCGCATTGGGGTTCCAACCCCCACAACTGGGGGTGGCTCAGAATTCGGGACCCCCCACGTTTGGCTTCCTTTACCTAGAACAGTTGGCAAGAAATTCACAGGCCATAGGGACACCCACCATTAAAAAAGGGCCTGCACTGAATGTCTTCAGGACAGCCACGCCGCTTAGCACAGTGGACCGTGGCTGGTTTCTAGTTTTGGAAGGGGGTTTCCCTTTCAAATCTCCAAAACCCTTTAAAAGAGCAACCTTTTGCGGTTTCGCAGCGGTTTCCCTTTAATCGCTCAAATTTTGCCCATGGCCACGGCCACTTCTTCACTCCAGCCCCCGCCGCTCATTCTGACGCTTCTGGCCGAGTCGAGTCGTCGAGTCGAGTCGAGTCGAGTCGAGGCGCTTCTCGAAGGTGCTCAGAGAGCTGAAGGCGCCGCAGGAGCGCATGTCCGTGTGCAGCGCCTGGGCCCTTGGGGAGCTCCACCCGATCTCGCCGATCCAAAAGAGGTCCTCTGACCTGACGAGACGAACGGGGGGGGGGTTCGGGGCGCATCCGCCCGGGTGCGGGAGATGGCCCTGTAAAAAGTCACCAAACGTTGGGTCCACTAAGATGGCCAAACCGCAAAGACTTGTTCTTTCTCACTAAAACTTCAACCAAACCCCCGACAAAGTGACAAACAAAGAAACCACCCCACCGGAAGTAAGCTCTATAGCTCCTCCAGTAGACTTTAATAGGGGAACCCTCCCAACCAAAACAGAAACGGTGAGAAAGTTGGCACCTAGCTGAAAAACCGGAAGTGAGCTGATCAAACTCCCCAAACTCCCAAACCCAAACTCCCCAAACTCCCCAAACAAGTGACAAAAACAGAATCCAACAAACCCCACAGCACGTGAGCTGCTCACCTCCCCAAACTCCCAAATAGTGACAAAAAACCCACCCCCACCGGAAGGCGAGAGCTCCTCACTTCTCATCCTCTTCGCCCGGCCTCCCGGTGAGCTGCTGCATCTTGTGCCTCGCTGCCACCATGATGGCGTTGGCCAGGCACTGCGGGCCCTCCCAACACACCGCTCGCGCCATGGCCTCGCTGCAGTCGCTGCTGCCTGAGCCGAGTCGAGGGGCGAGCCGTGTGGGGGGGGGGGGGGAGTTTTGCGGGGCAAGCGGCGGAAACAAAAAAATAAAAACGGAGGGTCCAAGTATACTTCAACCTTCAATCCTGAAGCTGTAAGACTTCAATAAGTAATTTGTTCATAATGTTGCCCCCCTTCCTGAGTGGATGGGCCAAAAACAGTCGAGAATTTCTTGTATGTACTACTAAAACTGGTCTCCCCCAAAAAGTGTATAGTCCACGAACTCAGGAAGTGAGTTTAGTTCCGGGCAAAGCTGTAAGATGTGTCCAAACCCTCACCCAGAGGTACTTCGCGAATCGGATTCGCTGCAGATTCCCAAACCCATCGGTACCCCAGGACTCGAAGGCCAAATGCTCCGAAGCGAACGGGGACGTGCTTGACACTGGAAAGTCGCTTCTACCGGGGCTGTCCGTTTTCAGATCTGGCAAAAGCTCAACCTGAAACGTGGGCTTCATGGAAACCGCTGGACCGAACAAACACCTAAGAAATCCTAACCTCAAGCACCGAAAGCTTGGGAACGGGTCTGGTTGGGACACCTAACCCAAAAAATCGACCGCCTGAGAACCACAGGGTCCGCGCGAGACAATTTTCCAGATCGGTGTCGGTGCCCAAACCTTTCGAGTGGGGAGCCCACCGAAAACAAATCAAGGCTTGGTGAATGGGAAATTCCCTCAGGATCCGCGGGGGCAGCATGGAAAGAATGGGGAAGAAAGGTGGCCCTTTGGGAATTGAAAAAAAATGTTTTTTTTTGTAAATGGAATATAAACCCCATCTAATCCTTGTTTTGACTTCTGGCTAGGGCGAATGAAGGAACCCGAAAGGCAAAAGGGCAAAAAGGCGAGTTGAGTTTGTGGTTCCAACAGATTGCCGAAATACCGCTAGCTGTGGACCAAAACGCCTCAGAATCGAAGCTCAACTTGCTTCAGAGCTTTCATCGAATAGTTCCAACAACCCAGAGGGTCCAAGTACCTCTTGAGGATGGCTTTTGCGGGGTAAAAAGGGGTCTAAGTACCTCCTTAGAAGTCACTCAAGGCAAAGCACCAAAGCACCAAAGCACCAAAGTCACCAAAGGCAAGCCAGGCGTATGATACATTCAGCCGGCAACAAGCACACATCCGGAGCCCATATGCCAAGCTGCTGCCGGCGTTCATGTGCAGGTTGGGGTCGAAGTAGGGATAAACCTTGGAGGATTTCGGGCGAGGAATCCTTTGCTCTGAGCGTGTCTGTTTATGATCTGGGTGTCTCTTGTTCGAGGGTAAATCTGACGAGGAGCCACAAACACAATGAATTATCTAATGATCATGAGGTAACCGGGTAACTTTTGGTGTCATAGTACCAGCCCCGTTCTAATTATTGGCCTTTACAATCCTTGGCTGGAATTAGGACCCCAGCAAAAAATGAGATCTTTTTTGCCTGGAACATGTGGAAAACCAAGGGACCCCAAAAAAGGCAAAAAAGCAAAAAGGGGAGCGAATTCTGGGGAAGAATCCAAGGTCGTCTCGTGGCAATGGCTTCTTCGGACTTTTGACTCCGGGCACGGCTCTAGGAAGGGAAACGGAGTACTTGATCCATCGGTGCGAGTCCGGGGTTGAGAAATGGAATGACCCCTATGAGCAAACCGTCCCTTGCTGGTGGTTTCCTTGAGGAGCCTGCGTTCATTCCATTTCTCATTCCCGACCGATTTCGCATCAGCAAGAAAAGGCAACACTGGAGGTCTGGGGGTGTTTTAGAAGTCAGAGATCTGAGAAGCACTCAGCCGAACCAGGAGCAGGGTTGCAACGGGACGTGGTTTGCTACATCGGCCTTGCAAATCAGGTTCTATTGCTCAGTGTTCAATTGGATGTTGTGCTTGTCCAGTCTCATAATTGTTTTTGCAATCCATATAGCGCAACTAGCTTCCTTGCCCCAAGCACCTGGAAATAAACAGCTTAATCGCTTGGGCCCGCACACAGGGTTGCCAATAAGCGAAGCAACCATAAGAAAAGGCCGACTCGCTTTGGTCGACTGAGGCACTGTTGACCAAGCTGGAGTCTTTGACTCAAAATTGTTGCCTGCCACCCAGAGTGTGAATTCAGGGGGTGGGGTACTGGGCTGCCCTCAGATCCCCCGCTACAAGTGACTCACTTTTAGTGGGTTAAATGAAAACTACCACTAAACACAAAAAGGCTGACAAGCTGAGGAACCGGATGGCTGGGAGCCTCCAAGGGTAGATGGACCCCGACCTTTTCGCCAGTTGCTCTATAGGAGAGCCTGAGCTGAATCAGCACGGGCAAATGTGAGTCAAAGCAAAACGTTAGCTTCGGATGAATCCGGAGAACCCTACTTGTCCCTGCTTGTGTAACCAACCTCCTTTCGGCTTTCCTTTTGAAGACGACCACGGTCTAATTATTCAAGGAAAAAAACCTGAACAAACGCAACAAAGATCAACACCCCAAAAAATCAAGTTGCAGAACAAATCTTCAAAAGTGTCCACAAGGCCAGGCCGGTGACCGGTGCTAGGGTCCGACCCAAAAAAAGCCAAGCCGAGGGGCGTTGAACGTGAAGGCGTAGCGGCGCTTGTACTTCCAGAGCGCTTGGCGCAGGAAAGTGTTCACCAG